GAGAGAAAGGGAGACACAGAATCTGAAGGAGGCTCCAGGCTCTCAGCTGTCAGCACAGAGCCTGATGCAGGGCTCGAACTCACAAACCATGAGATCATGACCTGAGCTGTAGTAAGACACTGAACCAACTGAGCCACTCAGGCCCCCCATACACCACACATTGTTTATCCATTAATCTATGAAAGGACACTTGGATTGCTTCCACAGTTTGGCTGTTGTAAACGCTGCAGTAAACACAGGAGTGCGTGTCTTTTCAAATTAGTGTTTTCATATTCTCTGGGTAAATACCCAGTAGTATAATTCCCAGAGTGTACAGAACTCTATGTTTAATTTTTGAGAAACCCTCATACTGTTTTCTACAGTGGCCACACCTGTTTTCACTACCACCAACAGTGTACAATGGTTCCTTTTTTTCCACATCCTTGTCAACACTTGTCTCTTGTGTTTTTCATTTTAGCCATTCTGACATGTGTGAGATGATATCTGTTGTGGATTAGATTTGCATTTCCCTGATGACGAGTGATGTTGAGCACCTTTTCATGTGTCAGTTGACCATGTGTACGTCTTCTTTGAAGAAATGTCTGTTCATGTCCTCTGGCCGTTTCTTAAACTGGATATTTGGGTGTTTTGGTGTTGAGTTGTATAACCTCTGTAAGTATTTTGCATACTAACTGTTTATCAGATATGTCATTTGCAAATATCTTCTCCCATTCTGTAGGCTGTGTTTTAGTTTTGTAGACTGTTTCCTTTGCTGTGCAGAAACTTTCTATTTTGATGTAGCCCCAATAGTTTATTTTTGCTTTTGTTTCCCTTGCCTCAGGACACATATTTAAAAAGTGACTGCCGATATCAGAGACAGGACTGCCTCTGCTCTCTTCTCGGATTTTTACGGTTTCATGTCTCACATTTAGGTCTTTAGTCCATTTTTGAGTTTATTGTGTATGGTATGAGAATTTTGTACACTTTCATTCTTTTGCATATAGCTGTCTAGTTTTCCCAATATTATTTGCTGAAAACAATGTCTTTTTCCCATTGCTTATTTTTGCCTCCTTCATCAGAGATTGACCATGTAATTGTGGGTTTTTTTCTGGGTTCTCTTTTCTGCTCTACTGATCTATGTGTTTCTTTCTGAGCCAGTACCATACTGTTTTGATAACTAAAGCTTTGTATTACCTTGATTCCTGACATTATGATACCTCCAGGTTCAGTCATATTTTTAAGACTGTTTTGTATATTCAGGGTCTTTTGTGGTTCTACACAAATTTTGAGATTACTTGTTCTGATTCTGTGAAAAATTCTGTTGGTATTTTGACAAGGATTGCACTAAATCCGTAGATTGCTTTGGGCAGTAGGGACATTTTAACAATATTTGTTCTCTCAGGCCATGAGCATGGAATATCTTTCCATTTGTTTGTGTCATCTTCAATTTCTATCATCACTGTTTTATAGTTTTTCAACTACAGGTCTTAGGATAAGTTTATTCCTAGGTATTTTATTATTTTTGGCACAACTGTAATGGGATTATTTTCCTTCTCACTCTGCTACTTCATTATTAGTGTATAGAAATGCAACGGATTTCTCTATATTGATTTTGTATCCTGCAACCTTACTGAATTCATTTATCAGTTGTAGTAGATATTCAAATCATGAAAAGAAAAAGCATAGACACTTAAAGCTGGAAGGAACCAAAATCAGTTCATCAGATTCCCATATTGTTTGCAAAAAGAAGGGGGAGGTCAAGTGACTTATAGCGTTAATACAGAGACATAGTGAAACACATTCCACTTGCATTCTACTATATAATTTAAAATTACTGTATTGAATTTTACCGTAAGATATCTGAAGCCTTCTAGAAGGGCTGAGCTTGCTATTATTTGGCTAAGGCCATATTGGACACGTCATGTGTCTGCTCAGCAGGGCCATTGCCAGAGAGAGCGCACATTTCTGGGACAATTTCCAGCCCTTTATAGTTAGTTCTTCACATACCCCAAACATTACTAAAGCAATTAACCTTGTTGAATCTTTTATTTAAATCACTGACTTGAAGCCTTTAATTTAAGCCAACAAAAAGTCCCTACAAAATGTAGGCAGTTTTTTTTGTGATAACTACAGAAGTACTATCTAGGCTTACAACTAGGTTATTGAGTCAATAAGCTTTTTCAAATAAGTCATCAAATATTTATTGAATACCAATTATATTTGAAACAGGGTATCAACTGTCATTCAAGGCTGGGAAAGTACAACTTTTTTTCTCAAGAAGCTTATGAATCATGTGAGTAACTGTAATGTATTGTATTCCAAACATTTGATTGGTCCTAAGAAAATAACATAAAGTGCTCCATGGTTTCAAAGTTCAAATCAACTGTGTTGTTTGAGGAAGATCAGGAAAGTCTTGAGAGATGAGATGATAATTGACTTTGTGCCTAGGTAGTTTTTTAAATTGTAAAGAGTGTTTTATATTGTTTTACAAAAGAATACATTTTCAGTATAATAAAAAAACATAAGCAAAAACCAAAAATACGACATCTAAAATTCCATCATTCACAGAAATGGGTATGAATGATACCTGGTGCATGTTACTCCATACATTCATATGCATGATATACATTATATATCTTACATTTAAAAATAGCTTCATGAAATCAAATATTATCCAAGTAGAATATGGCTGTACATATTTTATTTAATTTAAAGAAACTATCTTTCTTTCAATGTATTTTAATGTCCAGGAAACAGAAAAATCGATCTTTCTATCTATAGCAGAGTCTCTTCTAAATCTAATTGAGTGGCAGGAAGCTCCTGAAATGCCAAAATTGTGTTTTTATTTGTTATACAGGATGTAGTGATATTCAAGTTGCATTTTGGAGTTCTGCATCTCCCTATAAGAGAGGTCTTTTAATTAGTAATATAGTAGACATATAGAGTTTATTCATTTTAGTTCTTAATACCACAGTGAGTATATGGTAATTTATTCTTTTACTAATATTCAGTGCCTAGCATCAGGTTACTATATGCTCAGCAATTTATCATCTGGGGATTTTTTATTTAATTTTTTTCTTAATGTTAGTATTAGTCTGCATTAGCAAGTAATAAAATGCATTGCTTTATTAGAACTTCAATAAGGATAGAATACATCTTTATTTCCATATATGTAAACCAAAATAAAAGATTTTATCATATTTTTCTCTCCTCAACCAAGTGCTAAATATTAAAATTTTAAATATATAGCTACCAGTTTACCAAAAGAAATTTTTCTACAATATCAGGGCCTGAAGATCTGTAAATATATTTAGTTAAGCCAATCATGATAATAGTACATATGTATTTATTCCTAGTGTGTGTTAGGAGTTGTGTTAGTGCTAGAAACTTTGAAGATTCACAACAACCTTATGAGTAAGGTATTGATATTATTCCCATTTGATAGTTTAAGTGGCTGAAGCACAGAGATAGTGATTATTATGCACAAGGTTACCTAGGTGATGAGGGCGGGAACTGAGAGAGTAATCCAGGCCATGAGACACTATGCAATACTACTTCTTGTGAAATGAAACTATACTTATTCTTTTACCAAAGGAATATTTTCAGTGGAGAATTTTTTGAAAGATTTTTATTTATTTATTTATTTTTGAGAGAGACAGAGGCAAAGACGGAGGGAGACACAGAATCCGAAGCAGGCTCCAGGCTCTGAGCTGTGAGCACAGAGCCTAATGTGGGGCTCAAACTCATGGACCGTGAGATCATGACCTGAGACAAAGTGGGATGCTTAACCGACAGAGCCACCCAGGCACCCCTCAGTGGAAAATTTTTGTTCTTGGTTGAACATCTTTTACATATACCACTAGGCCCTACAAAGAGGACACTGTAACTTTATGATTACACAGCTTTTAATGTTTAGATCAACACTTTTAAAAAATACTAGTTTCATGAAATGTTTACATGTATGACTTGAGGAAAGCTATCCATAATAAAGTAATTTGATACATTTGGGCTTAAACAAAATTAATCAGGCTTCTGTACTATGCCATTTTAGAGACTTTACATGTGAAATATACACTGTGACTCTTCAAGGGTAATAGAATATGTCCAGTTTATCATATGAAAAACAAGCAAGGAATGGGTTTATTGAAAGTTACGTAATTTTATTGCTTATCTTAAATATGCTACATGATAGTGGGTACTGGATACAGTATAGATCTGTTCTGTTTAGTGAGGATTTGGTTTGGGGTAAGGTAGACACCTCAGGGTTTCCATTGGTACTGGATTCGAGAGGTACATCAGTTTTCCTGGGTTAGAGATATTTAAAACGATCATATCTAATAATATAACCATTTGGATACTCAAAACTGTATTACCAATTCTGCATATGCCATCTTGTGATTTTTTTTTCCTAATCTGAGATACAGTGTGGTGCAGATCATACAGCTTAAAACATGTTGAAACTCAAATTCCAAATATCTACTCGAGAATATTTCTCATCTGTTTCATTTATTAGCAGAATGAAAATTTTCATTACCTGTGAACAATTTTCCATTAGAAGTCATTTACCGTATTTTCATAATTTCAAACAGAGGTTCTCAAACTTTAGGGTGCACAGGAATCACCAAGAGGCCTTGTTAAAACACAGATTGCTTATTAGTAGATGTATGTTGGAGCCAGATAATTAGCATTTCTAGCACCACTGGAAGGTTCATCCTTGTGAAGAATGTATATGGCAGTCAATATTTGTGATCATATTATTTTGAAATATCATTCAAGACAAGATATTGTGACCTGTGGATTCCCAGATTACACAAATAAAAAGTTATTCAGTTAAATGCTGATATGGTATTTAAAAAACATTTTAGATTACCTCACACCACTAACTATTTTTCAAGCTAAGGTATGGAGGAGATTTGAATTACTTGGAAAATATCACACCTAGAATCAATTCTGTACTTAGTGTGGAATGGATTGTTAATAAACCATGAGGTACAAAGCCTGAAACACAACTCTAGTCTCACCTGGATTTGTTAGTGATGACACAATAGATAGTCCACTCATCTGTTCACCACGATGCATGGTATGGAAAAGAAAGAGAAAGTGGTAAGTCAGTTACTAACTTTTTAGACAAGCTCCTTGAGTCAAACAGTACTTCCAAATATATGGTCATGAAGAGCAGACTGCAGTGGAAAGGATTTGAAGGGCTGGATTTTATTGCTCATCGTTTCATGATTATGTCTACTGACAAATCATGTAAACTCGCAACATTTCAATCTATTCGTGAAATAAAAGGATTCTGTTGGATGAGCTCTAAAGTCTCCTGTATTTCTGAAATATACGGATTCTTTGCTTTTGCTCCTACAAATATTTCTCAATTCACTGGCTCAGAACACTGGTATTCTGACACTGGTAATGCTCAATTTTACTTATTTAGGAAAATTAATTAGGTGCTCTCTGCTTGTAGTAGCCATAACAAAAATCAATTGGAAGTCATTAAAAGATCGTAATTACATTTAAGCAAGCTCTACTGTAATTCAAAATTCATGTTAATAGAAACTTCTAATAAACTCATTAATTTCAGATTTAGAAATTATAATTATCACAGTTGTATCCACATATTTGCCCATAACAATACAGAAAGATAGCAAGCACAGTGGTTAAGTAGGTAAGAACAAAATATACATTTCTGAATATTTTCACTAAAGTCATATACTCTACAAATATACACATATCTAACTCTTTAGATTGCAAAACATAACGCTCACATGAAGCAATTATAGAAAGAAAACTGTCCTCCCAAATGTCAGTTAATGTTTCATCAAGTGTAAAGATGATCTATATGTAAGGAAGAGTCATTAGAGTCCCAGAAGGAAACCAAATCATAAGCATATTCAGGTGACTGACCATGGAAGATGTTTTAGATTAGAGTCAGAACCTCAAGTCTAAATTAAATACTTAGCTTAAAGAAATGCTCATCAGGGGCGCCTGGGTGGCGCAGTCGGTTAAGCGTCCGACTTCAGCCAGGTCACGATCTCGCGGTCCGTGACTTCGAGCCCCGCGTCGGGCTCTGGGCTGATGGCTCAGAGCCTGGAGCCTGTTTCTGATTCTGTGTCTCCCTCTCTCTCTGCCCCTCCCCCGTTCATGCTCTGTCTCTCTCTGTCCCCCCCCCAAAAAATATAAATAAATAAATAAACGTCAAAAAAAGAAATACTCATCAATCTGCAGTTAGCATGGATATGTGTGTGGACCATAAGTCTAAAAACGATACTTTCTAAAAGAGCAAAATGACAGCACCAGATAAAAGAGCAAAAGGACAGACTTTCTTTAACTCAAGAAATTCTACTTAGAGCAAAAATTCCACAACAAAACCAATTTATCAAACAGGAAGACCTGAGAGAAGCATTTTGATTTTAAAGCTGAAATGAGGTTCCTTGCATGATATATTTATTATTTTGATTCAAGTCTGCCAGCCATGTGCTTTTGAGGTACTCTGCTAATATAATATTCTTTACGTTTTGGTTTTGGTAGTATATTATTATTCTCTTGTCACTGGTGTTTCAATATACATGGTTCTCTTCTGGTTAGTGATCCCTTTTAGCATGTAATTAAACTCAAAGAAAACAACAGATTTAAAGCTTGGTTATTATAATATAAACCTACAAACTTGGTAAAAACTATATCCAATGACATAGTGTGAGACATCTTTTGTGTGTCAGCCATAAGGGAAGAAATGATAGGCAGTTTCAAAATGCTAAAATGTTTAAGAACAGGAAGAGAACTCTATCATAACCTATTGTAAAAGAGAAATCTGATTAGTATCCACATACACTAAATAAAAATGTATATACTAAATACATATAATATGGTGTCTTACCAACTAAAATAGATAACTGACCAATGAAAACAGTATAATTTTAAAACTAAGAATAAAGAGCGTTTTATACACCAGATGTCGTCTTGTTGATGGAGAACTTTTAGAATCAGCATAGGTAATGAAAACAAATGGCACAGGAATTGAAATCGATATAATATGTGAAGCAAATATGAAGACAGAGATAAATTACTGAAAAAGGAATAAAAGTAAGCTCATCAACACTCTCTAACGACTGTAAGGAAACAAATCAGGAATGTGAATGGTGTTTATGACTATTTTTTAAATGATCCACAGTAAAGGGTAAATAAAGAAGGTTACTAGGAATTCAAAGAAATGAACAAATGCAGAATGCAAAATCTGGCCAAGAAAATAGACTCAGAAACACTATACATACAATTCTGGGATAAAGAAATACTTACTCAAACTCGTCATGATGGAGATTAATGACACATTACTGATGGAGAATAATGGGTGGAAGTATTGAGTTGAACTCAGAGAAAGGCAAAAATCTAGGTCAGGTTGTCACAAAGTAAGGAGATTTGCTAGAGGACAAAGCTGTAAAATGTTGTCTAAAATGTCAGTGAATAAAATATGTGCATCTTTCTTTTGCTTAATTAAAATAATTATGACATGAACTTTGATTATGGATAGTTTTTGAGTCTCTGTAATTGAACTTAAATTTTTAAAACACACGAACATTCTATCTACAGCGATGGATGGATAATGTGGTAGTTGTCCAGTACAAAATGACCCCTACTTCCCAGGAAAGGTCTACAACAAGCAGAGTATCACCAGCCAAATTTGTCCCAGTAGCTCTGTTACTCAAATTAAAGCTACAGTTTTGTATACACATACCCCATACAAAGGCAGTTAGAATGACCCAAGCCACATCAATCAGAATTTGGGTACTTTTCAAACTGGAACAGGGGAAAGTTACTTCCTTTTAGCAGGCAGGAGCAGGTCAATGTAAATACCTAGTCAACTAGTAGGCTTATTTCCGGATGCATTCCTAAGATTGTGTTTGGAGAAATTAAGCTAAGCGAGACAACAAGAGAAATTTAGAAGTGAACAGAAGAAGAAAGAGATCACTCCAAAAGTTCAGTTGTTGGACAACTACTGTGTTAATTTCATTTACAATTTGGCTTAAGGGAGAGTGGGCTTGCAACAACAAAATGTAATCAATAACACACTATGGAGCACTGAATCCTTTTACCATAAGATTATAATATGGGTTAAAAATGCTCTCAAAATTATCCCAGAAGTTTTACTTCTAACAGTATGTGCGAAACCCCAAGTATTTGGAAATTAAATCACACATTCTAAATAATCTACTGTAAAAGTAAGGATCACAAACACAAAAATCTAGTATGTTTAACTGAATGATGATAAGTAGACAACATAAAAGCTTTCAGAATACATATAGTACTTACAGGAAAATTTGTAACTGTGAAAGATTATATTTAAAAGGAAATAAAAATACATAAATATAAATATCTATTTTTCCCAATGCAGAGATACAAGAGCAAATTAAACTCAAAATAAGAATAAGGAAGGAAATAATTTAAGAACAGAAAACAATGAAATAAAAATAGAGAAATATTAAAGAAAATACATAAAACTTAAAGTTGTTTGGAAAAGATGAATAGATTGATAAATAACTAGCAAGGATGATCAAGTAAAGAGGAGAGATAGAATTGCTCACTTCAGAACAAACTAGAGACATCACAATGTTACAGACATTAAAATAATAAAAATGAAGTTTGGAAAAAACTATTTGAATAAACTTGACAACACAGAACATTAAAAAGTAATTTGTAATTAAAAATATTTTCACAAAGAGTTCTCTAGCTCCAGATGATTTCACTGGTAAATTTTATCAAACTTTTAAAGAAGGACAAGTATCAATTCTACTCAAACTCTTTGAAGAAATAAAGGAGATTGAATTTTTTTTCAATTCATATTCTGAGGCCAGTATCATACTGACTGCAAAAACAGAAGTGGATATTAACAAAGTGGATATTATACAGAGTAGTATATCTCATGGACACAGAAACAAAACTCCCTAACAGAAGATGACCAAATATAATTCAAAAATAAAAAAAAAGGATAAGCATCCATAACCAGTGTAGGTTTACTGTAGGAATGCAAGGTTGCTAAAACATTAAAAAATCACATCTAGGGGGCTCCTGGGTGGCTGAGTCGATTAAAACGTCTGACTCTTGATTTCAGCTCAGGTCATGATCTCACAGTTTGTGAGTTCGAGCCTCATGTTGGGTTCTGGGCTGATGGCAAAGAACCTACTCTGTCTTACTTCTGTCTGCCTCTTCCCTGCTTGCCTTCTCATCGCTGTCTCAAAAATAAATATTTTTTAAAAAATACTTAAAAAATCCAATCTTTTAATTTGCCATATTACCAGTATGAAAACAAAAACAAAAACATAAAAACAAAACAAAGACAATCATTTCAACAGGTACAAAAAAGCATTTGCTAAATTCAAAATCTATTCATGGTAAAATTTATTAGCAAATTAGGTATAGAAGAGAATTTCCTCAGCCTGATTTAGGGCATGCACAAAATGCCTACAGCTAACATTTATTTGTGGAAAATTACAAAACTTGCTTTCTAGCTATACATTAAGCAAGGACATTCAACTCTCAATTATGTCACTGTAGAAAACAAAAATGCAAGAAACACAAACATAAACTGTCCAAATCTTACCAAAACTTTAAAAAGAGATTCAATTAGGTTTCACAATTTACTGATTGGTTCTCTACATCCATTTCCTTTCTCAATTTGTATAAAGGAAAAGTAAGTATGCAGGGAAACATGTCTAGGACAGAAGCAGTTTGATAGGGATTTTGGGAAATTAAGAGATGCGTTTTTTTTTTTTTTAATATCAAAATTTACTGATTGAATAAGATTTATTGTCAAAGAACAAATTTTATAAATATACTTGTAAGCACATTTTTGTTCATATAGGAGTAGATTCTTACACAGTAAAGACTTCTCATGAATTTTGCTTCACTACTGAAGCATTGAATATGCTTGAAATATTTTGATATTTTACAGATCACATAATCCTGATATTATTTCCAGCATAATTACACAACTTGGAAATTCACTTTCAGAGCTACTCATATTAGCATTCACAGACGAAATAGAAGAAGAACCAATATATACGATGAAT